CTGACATGATTTTTGAGCTGCTAGGTCCAAGACTCAAACAGTGGTTGGCCATGTGGGAATCCAGCGCCTTACCTTCCATACTACCTGCTGACTCAGAACTTCTTTTTAATTTTTAATTTGACCAGAGAGGGACAGAGTGAGAGAGAGAGAAAGGGAAAGTGAGGAAGCAAGCCACCATGTCCGGGACTTGAAATATAGTTGACCATGTGGGGCCAGCACCCTTAACCACCTGCCACCTGCCAGCCCCTTTTTTACATTTTTAATTATTTGTTTTGTCAAAGGGTACATGTGCTTGCCAGAGAGACAGAGAAAGGAGAAAGCACTCCCTATAGGGAATGCTCCCAATGCACTTCTTTTTCTGTCCCCGTCCTTTCAGGATTTTGGACAGTCAGACACACATACCCAGGGTATTTCTCAAGCTACCATATCTGGGACTTGAACTGCGTGGTTAGCCATGTGGGGACTCCAGCTGCCTTAACCACTGGGCCACATAGTTGGCCCTCATTTAAAATTTTTATCTGTAGGTAAAGGCATAGTTTTCACACAATTATGTCTTTCTCTCTTTTTTTTTTTTTTTGGTTTTAATTTTTTTTCTGTTGAAACTACTTATGCTAATTTTTCAAGTCTGGGATTCTGAAATAGTATGTGTTGAACTGTTTTTGATTTTTAACCCTCTTACCCATCCTGTGGTCAGTAAATTACCAAATGCTGTTTTTTATAGTGTATTTGGCATCACTCTGTTCCTTTCCATTCTCACTGTTTCAGTCAGTTCTGCCCCATTCATGCCAGGATTATTGCAGTTTTTTTTCTCTAACTCTTTTCTTCAGTCCCCAGTGTCTTTCTTTTTCATTCCACCTCATTATGCCAGATTAATTGCCCTAAAACACTGTTTTGGATAAAGGATTCATTTGTTTATCCAAATCCCTAAAACAGTGCTTCAGATAAAGGATTCATTCATTTGTCAAGTATTTATTGAATGCATGCCATGTGCCAGATATTAAACCCCTTAACTGGCATTTAGGGTCTGAACATTCTCTCCACATGATACCAGCCTTCTCTCTGGCTCAGCCAGACTGTTCTATTCGCTGCCTCCTGAAAATGCCAGCCGCATTCCCATGTCTGATTTTTTGTTTCAGGATGAACTGTTTTCAATTTATTCTATCTGTGCTCCTTTTCATTTATTTTGATCCATTCTTTTTTTTTTTAAATAACTATTTCATTTTATTTATTAATTCATTTGTTTTAATTTGACCAGAGAGAGAGAGAGAGAGAAAGCAAGCTCCCAGGTCTGGTACTCAACCCTTGGTCAGCCATGTGGGAGTGTCCAGCGCCTTAACCACCACGCCACCTGCTGGTCCCCAACTTTGACCCATTCTTAAATGCATGGCTCTAGTGTCAGTCTTCACTCCATGAAACATTCTAGTCTTCTTCTTCTTCTTCTTCTTCTTCTTCTTCTTTTTTTTTGGTAACTTTATTTGTTTTAATTTGACCAGAGAGGAACAGAGTGGGAGAAAGAGAGACAGAAAGTGAGAAATCACCCCCCAGGGGGATGACCACACCGCAATCCCTTTTCCGTTCTCCTTATGGGATCTTGGGCACTCACGCACAGGGTGCACGCGTGAGTTTAAGCCATGGGGTCCAGGACTCAAACCGCAGTCAACTACATGGGAGTCCAGTGACATAGCCATTACAACAGCTACCGGTCCCCTTTTTCTTTTATTTTTAAATAATTATTTTACTTAGCTTTATTTATTTAAATTTGACCACACACACACACACACACACACACACACACACACACACAGGGAAAAGTGAAAAAGCAAGTCGCCCAGTCCAGGACTCAGACCACGGCCAGCCATGTGGGAGTCCAGCACTCTTAACCACCACACAGACTGCCTGCCCCTGTTTTTTATTTCTAATCTTGCTTCCTTTTATTCCCTAATATGAATTGTCTGAATCACCTGGAGCCTTCTACTTTGCTCCCTAAACACCTGTACCCTTCCTCGCACCCATGCATTTCTTTGCTCATGTTTGAGTCCTATGCTCAGATTTTTTCTTTCTTCTCTCCCCCCATGCCTGTCAAATTTTACTTATTTTCTTTAATTTTTTTTTTTAATTTTGCCAGAGAGCATATGTGTTCACTGAAGAGAGAAAGAGACAGACAAAGAGAGAGATAGAGAAAGTAAGAAAGTAATCCCCAATGGGAGATGGCCATACCACAGTCCCTTCTCCATTTCTCCCTCCTTTGGGGATTTGGGGCATGTACATGCATGTACCCAGTGTTTTTGTCAGGTCACTGGATTTGGGGCTCAAACCACATAGTCAGCCATGTGGAGTCCAGCTGCCTTAACTACCATACCACTGGTTGGCCTGATCCTTAACATTTTAAACAAAAAAATCAGTTCATATACCAATACATAGTCTACCAGGGAGGCCCCAGACTTGACTTTAATTCTTTTTTTTAATTTGCCAGAGGCCATGTGCATTTGCCCAAGAGAGACTACAGAAAGAAAGAGGGAGAAAGCACCCTATAATGGGGCATAGTCACACCTCAAACCCTTCTCCATTTTTCCACCCTGTCAGGATTTGGGGCACACTCACACATGCACCCAGTGTATTTTTTTTTTTAAGCAAGATTTTTGCTATAGGGCATGTGTACTCACCAGAGACAGAAAGTGAGAAATCAACCTTAGGAGGATGTTTTTGCCGCAGTCCCTTCTCCATTCCGCTCTCGAGATCTTGGGCATGTACCCAGTTTGAGTTTTAAGCTGCTGGGTCTAGCACTGGAACCACAGTCTATAGTCGACTACATGGGAGTCCAGCAACATAACCATTATACTATCTGCTGGTCCCGCACCCAGTGTATTTTTTAAGCCTCTGGATGCAAGGTTTGAATTGCACGCATGTTTGGCCATGCAGGATCCAGCTCCCTTAACCACTAGGCCATGGGATTGCCCTTAGCTTTGATTTTTCACAAACTTTTTGAAGACTATATATATAACAACTTCTACTACCTCTTCTTACAGATTATCCCTCTTTTTTTTTTTTTTTGGAGAGATTTTCGCTATAGGGCGTGTGCACTCGCCAGACAGACAGAGACAGAGACAGAAAGCGAGAAATCACCCCCCATGGGGGATGGTCACCCCGCAATCCCTTCTCCTCCATTCTCCTCCCGGGATCTTGGGCACGCACCCACATGCGCCCAGCATGAGTTTTAAGCGACCGGGTCTGGGACGTGAACCGCGGTCAACTACGTGGGAGTCCAGCGACATAGCCATTACACTAACTGCTGGTTCCTGGATTATCCCTCTTAAGGTAACTATTACTAAGGGCTTGGTATATGCTCTCCATACTTTCTTTTTTGTCCCTGCACACAGACTACATAGAGCTTTAGTGGCGTCCCTTGCCCCAACAAAATGGGGCCATACTTTAGCAGTTCTCAAAGTGTGAACCTGAACTTTTGGGGAATCCCCAAGACCCTTTCAGGAAGGAGGTCCAAAAGCAGACCTATTTTCATAATACTATTAAGATTTGTTGGGACCAGCAGTTAGCGTAATGGCTATGTCACTGGACTCCCATGTAGTCAACCGCAATTTGAGTCCTGGACCTGGTGGCTTAAACTCACGCCGGGCACGTGTGTGTGCGTGCCCAAGATCCCGAGAGGAGAAGAGGAGAAGGGATGGTGGAGTGGCCATCTGGCCATCCCCCCTGGGGGGATGATTTCTCGCTTTCCGTCTCTCTGTTTCTATCTGTCTGGCAAGCATACACGCCCTATGGCAAAAACCTCCCCCCCAAAAAAAAGATTTGTTTGCCTTTTTCACTGGGTTGACATTTGCACTGATCATGGAAAAGACATGGTAGGAGAAAGTACTGACCTCTTAAGCATTCCTTTAGCCAGGCTGTGGCACCAAACTACCAGTCATGAAATATTTCTGGGTCAGGGCTGGCAGGTGGTGTAGTGGTTAAAGGTACTGGATTCCCACATGGCCAACCTTGGTTCAAGTCCTGGCATGAGTTTAAGCCACCAGGTCTGGGACTCAAACCATGATCGACTACATTGAGAATCCAGCAACATAGCCATTACACCAACGGCTGGGCCCGACTGATGTGATTTTCAAGCCACTAGATCCAGAACTCAAACTTAGCTATGAGGGAGTCTGAACTCCTTAACCGTCGTGCCATCTGCTGGCCCCATCCCCTTATATTTTTTTAAGAGGTGTTTGCCATGGGGTATATGCACTTCGCAGAGAGAGAGTGACAGAGACAGTGAGAAAGAAAATGAGAAATCACTCAGCTAGGGGGATGGCCATGCTTCAGTCCCTTCATTCTTCTCCTGGGATCTTGGGCATGCACAACACACACCTGGCTTGATTTTCAGACTACCGGTTCCAGCCGTGTTCAGCCATGTGGGAGTCCAGCAACAATCACTACACTATTTGTTGGCCCCCTCATGTGTTTTCAAAATGTTCTCGCTCTGCCTACTAAATTATAAATGGAAGTTAAGTCTTGAAGGCAAGGATGGTGTGCTGCACAATATATATATATCAGTAAATAATGATGAGAGGGAACCAGCAGTTAGCGTAATGGCTATGTTGCTGGACTCCCACGTAGTCGACCGCGGTTCGTGTCCCGGACCCGGTGGCTTAAAACTCACGCTGGGCGCGTGTGCGTACGTGCCCAAGATCCCGAGAATGGAGGAGAAGGGATTGCGGTGTGACCATCCCCCCTGGGGGGTGATTTCTCACTTTCTGTCTCTATGTCTCTGTCTGTCTGGCAAGTGCACGCGCCCTATAGCGAAAACCTCTCCCAAAAAAAAGAAAAAAAAATAATGATGAGAGAAAGATTAAGAGTCGTTACAAGAAAAGGTGCCTTAATGGTTGTATATGACGGATGGAATGGTGCTGAGGAAAGCTGTGTATGTTAATGCATTCTTCTCTCATCTTGGGTAGTATTTGAAAATATGAAAGAGTAACTCTTCAACTTAATTTCTCTCGTTTTAGGCAAGTACATCGCCTCAACACAACGACCTGACGGGACCTGGCGCAAACAGCGAAGGGTGAAAGAAGGCTATGTGCCCCAGGAGGAGGTCCCAGTGTGCGTGGTTAGGCTTGAGGAGGGTTATTTCGTGGGTCCCTACAGAAATATAGAGGATATGTCTCTACGAGTTCAGTCAAGACTCTCCTAAGCCCTACAGAAATGGAAGGAGGAGGAACTCTGAGAAAGGAGAGGAAGAAGGGGTGGAGTATGGGAAGAGTAAGGGTTACAGGTGCCTAGTTCTGTCCCTGTGCTCTTTTCATTAAAACCTCCAGATAGCATTCAGCGATCCAGAGTGTGGGGCCTAGGAACAGAGGCAAGTTGGGGAGGGACCAAAGGAGAGGAAAGAAGCAGGAAAGTGTTGAGAGTTAAGAGATTTGGAAGGTTAAGAAAAGGATTCAAAAAGTCGGTGATTCTGGGACCAGCAGTTAGTTTAATGGCTATGTCGCTGGACTCTCACGTAGTCGACCGCGGTTCGCGTCCCAGACCCGGTGGCTTAAAACTCATGCCGGGCGCGTGTGCGTGCGTGCCCAAGATCCCGAGAGGAGAATGGAGGAGAAGGGATTGTGGCATGGCCATCCCCCCTGGGGGGTGATTTCTCGCTTTCTGTCTCTCTGTCTGTCTGGCGAGTGCACGCGCCCTATAGCATAAACCTCTCCAAAAAAAAAAAAAGTCAGTGATTTTTTGTAAGTTTATCGACATCTTGTTTCATACAGGTATGAAAACAAGTATGTAAAGTTTTTCAAGAGTAAACCAGAATTGCCCCCAGGGCTGAGTCCCCAAGTCCCTGCTCCTGTCACTTCATCCAGGCCTGAAGGTGGCGAACCTGGCCTCTCCAAGACAGCCAAACGCAACCTGAAGCGAAAAGAGAAGAGGCGGCAGCAGCAAGAGAAAGGAGAGGCAGAGGCTTTGAGCTGGACTCTTGATAAGGTGTCACTGGGCGAGCCGGCCCAACTCCCCTGTGCTCTGCAGGGCTCCCGGGCTGCCCCTACAACTGCCTCTGACCATCCTGACTCAGCTGCCACCACCGAGAAAGCCAAGAAGATAAAGAACCTGAAGAAGAAGCTCCGGCAGGTGGAAGAGCTGCAGCAGCGGATTCAAGCTGGGGAAGTCAGCCAGCCCAGCAAAGAGCAGCTGGAGAAGCTGGCAAGGAGGAGGGCGCTGGAGGAGGAGCTGGAGGACTTAGAGCTCGGCCTGTGAGGCCTCTGGAGAATCCAGGATGGACTGCAGAACAAACCATGGGGTGCTCTGGGGTCTGGGGAAATGTGGGCAGCAGTCAGGAGGGGTACTCCCCATCCTGCCTCACTTCCACCTCTTGCAGCCCCATTTTGTCTTTCAGAGCCTAGCCTCTCCTCATTCCTTCTCTTCCCAGCTCCTATTTTTTGGACTTCCCCCCACCTGTTCCCAGTGTCCAAAATCTGAGTGATTCCCCCAGGTACCCTTGCTGCTGATTTGGGTGTCTTGTTTAAAAGAGAAGTGGGTGGGTGGGAATCTCTCGGAGGACTGAGGTTGAGGGTAGAGGAAATACGCCCAAGTCTTGGAGTCTTTGTTCCTGTTATCAGTGTTTATGGGTTATTTCTCCCTCCATCCCTCACCACATTTTTTTTTTTTTTTTAAGAATGAGAATAAACAAGTAGACAACGTCTGGCTTTGCCTCTTTCTTTTTAGCTTCCCTGAGTTTGGCACAGGGAGACAAATACATGCAGCAGTATTTTTAAAAAGAATTATTTATTTATTTAATTCAATTTATTATTATTATTATTAATTTGACCAGACAAAAAGAGAAAGAGAGAAAGGAGAGCAAGAAAGCAAGCCGCCAGGTCTAGGACTTGAACTGCAGTCGACCACATGGGAACTTAGTGCCTATAACCACCACGGCACTTGCCAACCCCTATAGGTAGCAGTATTTTTAATTTTCACGAGAAGACACATATAGGAAAGAGAGAGGGAAAGTGAAAAATCACCCCCCATTGGGCATGGTCGAACCATAGTTCCTTTTTCATCTCTCCCTTTTTTCAGGAATTTGGGCATGCAAGCACACAGTCCTAGTGGGGTTTTTTGGAGTTTTTTAGAGATTTTTGCTATAGGGCATGTGTGCTTATCATAGAGACAGAGACAGTGAGAAATCACCCTGTAAGGGGGATAGCCATGCTACAGTCCCTTTTCCATTCTCCTCTTGGGACTTTTGGTACACACGCACACATGCCAGGTCTGATTTTCAAGCTGCTGGCTCGGATTTTGATGGGACATGATGGGCCAAGTGGAAGTCCATGCCACCTGCTGGCCCCCAGGAATGTTATCTTTTTATTTTTTGGAATTTTACCTTTTTAGTTATTACTCCAAGATAGCATTGTGGGGCAAACCAATGATACAGCTAGAGGGCTTTATAGCCAAATGGGTCCTTTACTCAGTTTTTGTATATTCTCTCATTTCTACACCCTCAGTTATCACACCTTTCTAGCTAGCCCCTAGTGCAGAGACCAAGGGAGGGAGAAGTCAGCTGCAATGAACTTTAGGAGTTCATAGTTCTTAGCCTGACTCATAAGGCCCCACATAAGCTGGCCCTACTTAACTCCAGCAACACTTTTCTCCGGTGTCCCAAGTGTGTGCTCCAACCATTGGGTCGTGGAGAGAAGTCATGGCATGTTTTAAAATGAGTCATGGCTTTTCCGACAGCCCAGTATATCAAACTACTTTCAGTTTATCAAATGAGCCAGTCTCTTGGAGCCTTAGGTTTTTTGTTTAGATTTTTGCCGTAGGATGCATGTGTTTGCCAGAGAGACGGAAAGAGAGAAAGTGAGAAATCACTCCCTAGGGGAATGGCTACAATGTAATCCCTTCTCCATTCTCCTCTCAGGATGCCTGGTGTGTTTTCCAAACCACCAGGTCCAGGACTCAAGACATATAGTTGGCCATGTTCTGATCTAGCACCTTAACCATTGTGCCACTTTCTGGTGGACCTTAGGTCTTTACCTCTACTGGTCTCTCTATGTAGAATATTCTTCCTGACTTTCCCCTCATCAATTTTCTTTCCTAACCAACTCTTTCTTAGTCTTTGGATCTCTTAAATGTTCTCTTCTCTTAGAAGCCTTCCTTTACCCTCTTTTTTACTTTAATGTTTTTCTTTTAAGATTTATTTCATTTGGGGGCCAGCAGTTGGTGTAATGGTTATGTTGCTGGACTCCCATGTAGTCCACCGTGGTTCATGTCCGGACCTTGTGGCTTAAACCCATGCCGGTGCATATGCGTGCGTGCCCAAGATCCTGAGAGGAGAATGGAGGAGAAGGGATTGTGGTGTGGCCACCGCCCCCCCACCCCGGGGGTGATTTCTTGCTTTCTATCTCTCTGTCTCTCTCTGTCTTTCTGGCGAGCACATGTGCCCTATAGCAAAAAACTCTCCTCCCCCCAAAAAGATTAATTTTATTTGTTATTATTTTTTAAAAAGAATTATTTATTTAACTTGATTTATTTGTTTATTTTAATTTGGCCAGAGAGGGACACAGAGAGAAAGCCATCAGGTCCAGGACTCGAACCATGGTTGGCCATGTGGGAGTCCAACGCTCTTAAACCACCAGGCCACCTGCTGGCCCCATTTGTTATTATTTTTTTAAAGAATTATTTTATTTATTCTTCAATTTGACCAGAGAGGGACAGAGAGAGAAGAGTAGAGGCAAACCATAGCTGGCCATTTTGGAGTCCAGTACCTTAACCACCATGTCACCTGCTGGCCCCTGTTATTATTATTATTATTTTTTTAGAGGCTTTTCGCTATGGGGCGCGTGCGCTCGCCAGACAGCGCGGTCGACTACGTGGGAGTCCAGTGACATAGCCATTACGCTAACTGCTGGTTCCCTATTATTATTTTTTTCCATCCAGAGTACACTGTATATTGTCTTAATCAAGCGGCCCCTGTTATTATTATTATTGACCAGAGAGAGACAGAAAGGGAAAGTAAGAAAGGAAGCCACTAGGTCCAGGACTTGAACCACGGTCGGCCATGTGGGAGTCCAGCACCTTAACCACCATGCCACCTGCCAGCCCCTTCTTAATCCTTCTTACTTGCTCACATTACACTTCACACCTGATTTTTAAAAAATTATTTAATTTGATCTATTATCATTTTTTAAAAGAGAGATCTTTGCTATAGGGTGTGTGTGCTCACCAGAGACAGAGAGACAGAAAGATTGTGGTGTGGCAATCCCCCCCTAGAGGGGGATCCTTTCTCCATTCTTCTTTCAGGATTTTGGGCACATATACATGCACCCGGCGTGAGTTTTAATTCTTTTTTTTTTTTTCCAGAGAGGTTTTTTGCTCTAGGGCATGTGTGCTTGCCAGAAAGACAAGAGAAAGAAAAAGACAGAAAGCGAGAAATCACCCCCCAGGAGGATGGCCACACCGCAATCCCTTCTCCCCCCTTCACCTCTCAGGATCCTGGGCACTTGCACATATATGCCTGTGTGATTCTCAAGCCTCTGGGTCTGGGACTTGAACCTTGGTCAGCTATGTGGGAGTCCAGCACCGCAACCATCATGCCACCTCCTGGCCTATTCTTCTCTTTTTAATAACGTGTATTTGTTTATTTCCTCCATAAGCAAGAGAGACAGATAGCATCCCAAAGAGGGCCATGCTGCTGTCATCCCTCTTTTTATATATACACTATATGTATAAAAAAGTGATATATGGAGACCAGTAGATGGCATAATGGTTACATTGCTGGACTCCCTTGTAGTCAACCAGGTTCGAGTCCTGGACCCAGTGACTTAAAACTCAAGCTGGGCATGTATGCATGTGTGCCCAAAATCCTGAGAGGAGAATGGTGATTAAGGGGTTGTTCTGTGGCCATCCTGCAGGGGGGTGATTTCTCGTTTTCTGTCTCTCTGTCTCTCTGGTGAGTGCACAGTGCCCTATAGCAAAAATCTCTCTTAAAAAAAAAAAGTATGGGACCAGCAGTTGGTGTAATGGCTATGTTGTTGGACTCCCATGTGGTCAACTGAAGTTCAAGTTCCAGACCTGGTGGTTTAACTCATGCGGGGCGCATGTGCCTGTGTGCCCGGGATCCCGAGAGGAGAATGGAGGAGAAGGGATAGCGACGTGGCCATCCCCCCGGGGGGGGCTTTTTTGCCTT